AAGTGAGCAGTGGAGTGTGTCATGTGATATGTGGATCCTGAGTCAATGATCCATAATCCTTTCAAATGATTTCTAGAGGCCTTTAATCCAATAGATATAAGAAACTTACCTGAAAGTGCAAGATAAGAAGATGCATGTAATTTTTCAAGGTAAAACAAAAGTTGTTTTAGTTTATCAATATCTTCTTTGTTAAGTTCTCTGAAGCTGGACTGTGGTTCTTGGTTAGGCTGACTTATTATAGTGTTGGCATGTGATGTGCCCCTTTTTTCACTTATTTGATTCCACTCCTTATTTGCGGGCTTTCTATATATCTCTTTGTGTGTCTTGATTTCTTGCAATAACTGCACCAAAGAGTCTCTATCTTTAAATTTTGAAGAGTCTTTACCTTTTTCCTTCTATGGTGCTTTTCTGGTCATCAGTCATCACCATTGCTGAACTTTCAACAACCTTTGGCTCCAAAATTACTCCTCGTCGGCTTTCTTCAGCGCGAATAAGAGAAATGGTCCTATTTAATGATGGTGTCTCCTCTTTGCTAAGAATCTAGACTCTCACTTGATCAAATTTTGTATTAACTCCTACAAGAAAATTATAAACTCTATCTTTCTCAATAAAGTTTTTCATAATAGCAACATCTTCTGAACACCTGGTCTCTATGCATCTATAGTGATCAAGTTCTTGCAATATGTTTTGCAGAAGAGTGGCATATTCTGTAACTATCTTGCTTCCTTATTTTGTGCTTCATACCTTGATTTTTAATTTTAAAGATTTGAGCAGCATCCCGAGCTTTTGAGAAGGTTTGTCTGGAAGCATCCCATATGTCATTTGCAGTGGATAGGAACATAAACATATTGCTAATTTCTTCAGTCATGGAATTCCACAACCATGACAAAATCATAAAGTCTGCTTCATTCCATGCCCAAAAATTAGGATCTCCTTCTTTTGGTCCTCCGGAGATGTATTTTTCATTTCCCTTTTAAGTAGATCTTCACAAATTGGGATCACTTTAGATAATTCCTCCTATTTAGGCGATATGAATATTGCAAGCTTTGGAGATCACCTCATTCTTGGTGCACCATAGAATTCTCAATTTAGTCAATGTACTAGGAAGAATTAATTTCTGACATTGTGGTGTCAAACGATAGTAATGAATACTATCTGCATGATTATGCGTAGCAATATAAGCTTCCCAGAAAAATTCCATCCGAATTTTAGTTAAGAAAATAAAGGCCGATGTTGGTAAGAAAAAAAAAATTCTTCTCTTTTAAATAGTCCTATCCAAACTCACGAATAGATTTATACACCTAGGGGTGTCAATATTGCACTACAGGAAAATCACCCATTTCCGGCGGTAATTGAACCTTTTTCGGCGGTTTTGTAGTTTTCCGGCGGTTTTTTCCGGCGGCAATTTTGTCCGGCGGCTTACCGGCGATCTTGAACCGCCGGTCAAAAAAAAAAAAACCGCTCCGGCAGCCAACCCCGCTCCCGCGGCTCAACCCCCCGGCGCTCCGGCAACCACCCCCGCTCCCGCGCTCCGGCAGCCACCCCCGCTCCAACGCTCCGGCAAGCTCCCCCCAAGCGGCTCCCGCGGCGTGCAGCCAGCTTCCCGCGCGCGCTCCGGGCTCCAGCGTGCAAGGCGAGGTTCGAACAGCGGTTCCTCACGTGGAATTTCAAACGACGGACCGCTTTGCTGAAGAAGAAAATACGTTTAA